CGAGTTTAATGTTCAATAAAAACGAAAAGCAATTTTTAGTGAACCTATCTACTTTTGTTCGTACTAGTTCTTAGTAATAGCAGTGTGGAAAAGCTGTTTTTTGAGTCAATAAACCAAAACCCTAACTCCAGAAAGTGACTGAAAATGTAACATTAAGTTTATAACACAAGCTATTTATTAAAAATTTTACAAGTATACCCAATTAAACCCTGTCTAATACTAACCCATTTCTGCACTTAAATTTATTTTAATTTTTTTTTTTTCATTTGTAATTTGTGATTATCACTTGTCTAGTATTTGTAATTCTTAATGATTTTTACTGTCATTTTGGTATTTTTTAAACTACCACTAATTTCAAACTTTATATATAGTGCAATAAAGAATAAATGTATTTATCATTCACTGAATTACCTATGCTCTCAGATGCTTACAATAGATATATATGCTTTGAAGAATTTATATCTACATTTCTAATTTATTTTGTAATATAAAGTGACATACCACCGTACACCATCCGTTTTCCGTACTCAAGGTTATAAAATTCACATGTTTAAATTATTGGCTCTAGGTTATTTCATGTTATAATAGTTAGTATTCTCATAATTTTTTTTTTACTGTTATTACATTAATTGTTACTGTAAAAATTAAAATTTTGTCATAATAAACTTTATTCCAATCATTTAATGATAGGATCGAATGTTATTATTAGATTCATATGTTACCAAAAAATACTTCTAAGAAGGTTGTGTTTAGTGTATCAGTTAAAATGATAATGTGTTATTATAAATTATAGTTGATTAGGAATGTGCTAAATTCTAAGTACTATTACTTGCTGCTTGTATAAAAAGTCTTTGATTGGCTTTACCAACGAGTCATGATGCCCCAATTGGCACATGAAAAAAAAAAGGTTGTTCCTTACGCTTTGTGGTTGACTATGAGTTCAAAAAACCCACACAATACGTAAGTACCTGTCTAGTTAGTAATTTGTATGGTATTATGTTTTTAAGGCTCCTTTACTTTAAGTTGCAAAGATGGCGGTAGAGAGTAATTCCTAAAGCTTTTGCTTTATTAATAACTTAGGTGTTATGGGCGTTAAAGCTTCAGTGCTGAGATATGAAGCGTGGGCGCTCCAGAAAATATCTAAAGTAAGGTAAGCTTGATAAGGAGCCTTTTTACTCTTTCTCTCTTTAGCGGGAGGTCTCTACTCACCCAGCAGTAATTGTAACTAGCCATGCGTCAAATGATTCTTCAGGAATTTCTAAAAATAGTTGAATGCGTTATATCGCAAAACGAGTTGAATCTGAACAATACTATACTGCGGTGTCATCGGGTTATTAAGTTGTAGGAACATTGATAAACATGGAGTTCATGTAGGTCGGTAGAGAGAAGAAGTGGAAAAAGAAGAAAATATTGGTAACTCAGCTTTGAATTTAAAAAAATTACTCGCCCTAAATATCTTTTTTGGACGTCGCCTTTATCTAATTAGTTTTTTAAGCTATTGAGGAGAAAAAACGGAAGGCAACAAGGTTTAGTAGTTGAGGCTTGATTAAATAAATAAGCCAATGCGTTTCATGCAAAATCTGGTGTCGTTAATGTCTATAAGTTTTTGCCCACTCATCGCATTAAAGGTTTTTGAAATGTTAAATTTGCTAATCTGCAGTTTTAAGGTACGCATGGGGGTGGAAGGTTCTAACAACCATATTAACTCCTTATAGGTTACTAATTACTCTATTTACATCTGGCGAGTAGGTTTAATTTGCAAGAGTAGGTCTATGGTAATTTGACCCTAAACTACAGGCTCGGTCTCCAAAACCATCTGTTGTAAGTTTGAGTACCATGTGCTAACGGATTAGGCCAGCAAACAACGAAACATAAAAAGTGGTAAATTTAGTTACCAGTGAAAGTAAAACAAATCTATTTTGAGCCCCAGATTTTTCCCCAGTAAAGGATGAATCACCGTATCATGATCTGAAGAACGCGTGACGTGCTGGATTATAAAACTGGCATGGCAATATTATGGTGGTATATCCCAGCATATAAAGTGCAACGTGTTATACAGGCTGTGGGTCCTAGCGGAGCTAAAACAAATTTTGTAGTCCAAATTAAAAATTTTTAGATAATTATTAGCTTTTCCACAATTTATAAGGTATGTATTTAAAGTTATGGCCCCGCGCCAGATAGATGATGTTTCTTCATAATATTTTTTTATAAATCTTTAGCGCATTATTTTTTATTTGGGATTATATATATAATAAACATTAATACTTATTGGATCGGTAGAATGACTAACAATGTTTATTTCCTTGGCTTTTTGGATTTAAAGCCAAGTATATTTACGCAGAAACGAAGAATATACTTTAAGTAAAGCAGCTACATAGCCCATGAGTCTCTTAATAATTGCAAATGACAACTGTTAAGTAATAGCAAATTTAAAATGAATACCCACACCCATATTATATTCTTATTAATTGGTCATAAGTAGTTATGTTTACACTGTTACTTTAATAAAGTAAATAGTAAATAAAACTTATTAAAAGTAGCTGGACTGCCTTACCTGGTTTAGTTTCTAATAGGCTATTCATACGAAGCTTCTCACTCAGGGAGTCACCAATACACATGTTAAGTCCAGTAGAACAAATAAACTTTAGTACATCAATTGGTTGGTTACTCCTTGCTCGGGTCTCTTTTTTTGTAGTTCCTCTTAAGGGGGTTTTAGGAATTCTGAAAGGTTATTGCGACTTTTTTTTTACTTAACTTAGGTTAGTTTATATTAAGTACTTTTGTTATATTTAAGTAAGCTCAACTATTGTATGTTCATATTTTTTTGCATAAAAAGGTTTTTGTTGAAAAAACTTCAAAATGAGGCCCGTGCTTTCTTCTCAAGTTATTAAATGTCCTCCGGACGTCACTGTTAAGTTTAAATCTAGAAAAGTCACCGTGGTAGGCCCTAGAGGTTTATGCGTTTCTCTGAATAAGCGTTTATCACTTTTATAATAAATAATCATTTTTGCGTTTGATCAATTAGGAACTTTGGTACGGGAATTTAAACACATTAAAGTTTCAATGGTTCGAATAAGCAAAAACTCAATTCGTGTAGATGCCTGGTTTGCCACAAGAAAGAAAATTGCCTGTGTGAAAACTCTTTGCACTCACATTGAAAACATGATTAAAGGCGTACGACTTGGTTTTCAATACTCTATGCGGCTGGTGTACGCCCACTTTCCCATTTCTGTAAACTATTCCGATCCCACTCGTTTGGAAATACAAAATTTTCTTGGAGAAAAAAATCAACGTGTTGTGAAGATGGATCCTGGAGTTACTATTCGAGGCGGTGACATTAAAGGAAAACTTATTATCGAGGTTTTTTTTTTGATAATAAAAAAAATTTTAAATTATTTTATTTTCTTAAATTTTAGGGGAATGACATTGAGAAGGTTTCCCATTCTGCAGCTTTGATTCGGCAATCCGTTTTAGTAAAAAATAAGGATATTCGCAAATTTTTGGACGGGATTTACGTGGAAAGTAAATCCACTATTTTAACGGAGGATTAATTTTTCACGCTTTATTGTACTTTTCCTTGAATTCAAGAATTAAAGTTTTTCTTAAAGATTTGTTCTTGCTTAATTATTAATTATTTAAATTTATAGTTTAATTTTTCTGGCCTGAAGTTTTAATTTATTATATAAATGCAATCACCAACCAAAAGTTACTTGCTTTTTTATATAGAAAATAAGTTTTGTTTAGTCTATTAGCGCTTTTCATATCTTTTCAAAGTTGCTACATGCAGCGTATTTGCTTATGAGTCTGAATAATTTTAGCTTTTAAATAATTTTTTTCAGTATTTTTGTCTGTTAAGAAAATTTTGCTTTCAGATTAGCCACAAATCTTGGAAAACATTTGAAAATTAACTATTTACTGAAAAGTTTATGAAAAAGTATTAAAAGATTAAGAGTTTAGATTATTTTAGCTTCCCCAATTTTGCAACCTTTAATTTTCGTAGGATAAGCTAAGCTTTATAGTTAAATTCTTGCTGCTCTTTTGTCTTAAAAAAAAGTCATTGAGAACTCCAACACACTGAGTTCTTAATATAATTAACTTTCTTAGCTGGAGGCATCAACTTGAAAAAGTTAACTATTTTTTTTGAAATTTTTTTACTATTTGTGTACATAATAATCGTGGGCCCGTTGAACCTTATAAAATTTATTTAGTTTAAAAAAAATATTAACTTTGCTACAGAATTTTTATATTCGTTTTACCTCCCGGAGCGTCTTGAGAATACGTGAAGTCCTTTATTGTTACGTTAGCTTTTTTTTTATCTCTTTTATATTTTGGTTTTGCTTCAAGAAGTTTTTGCTCTGATTTAGGAAAGCATAATAAATGTATAAATTTTTTTTTAGATACAATTGAACGTTACTTTGAAGGACTGGGAAAAGTTTAATATTTCCTTTACTTTTTTTTATTATAATTACCTTTACTTTTAGTTGCGTTAATAAAGTTGATCACAAGTTGTTAGTCTACGAGAAATAATCTCTAGTGCTTTTTTAAAAAAAGACAAAAGTTTATATTGTTCATAATTTTTACTTTAAGAGTAACTTCAGTAAATACGTTAAAAATCACTTCTTTACTGCATCATTTTATTTTTTTTAGTAAAAAAAAGATTTCCTTACTTTTGGGAGTGTTAATTTTAAAAAAATATTTGGTTTTTTTTGTATGAAGTTAGAAAATGCTAAATAACTAAAGAATGCTATTGCTTTTGGAAAACGCACACGCTATTGCTTTGGGCATTGCCTTTACAATTTGCCACCACAAATTATAAAGTAAAAAAAAAAAACAAGTATCCTTATATACTTTTATTGGCTATAAACGTTTCCTCTTGCCTTTTACTACTTCGCAGACAAATTATAAAAAGACTATCTGAATCTTTTTTTTTTATAACTATATTGTAGTGGAGTTATAAGATTAGCTTTAGCCCGCTTTTCTATGCACAAAGACTAAAAAAATCCTTTTATAAAGTTTATTAAACAGGTAAAGTCAGTTTTCTTTTTCTTTAGAAAGTTGACAGAGAAGTAATGGGCTAAACAAGGCGTACAATTGGCTGGTATTCTGGAACGTAATATTTTGAATCCACCAGATTCTTAAGAGACTCCAAAGAGGCTAATAAAAATATGAATATTCATGAAAGCAACAAAAAAAGTGCACTCACGTGGCCTCTTGTTTCTGGCGATGCCGGTGTCCCATGCGTGAATGCAGGTGTCGATGGTAATTTTCTTGCTGACCTTTTAACAGCGTAGAAATGAATAAAATTTAATATTAAAAATTGTTAAAAAAAAATTAACCTCACGAATGTGGTCGAGGCCAGGATAGACTTTTCCATCCTTCATATCCCCATCCGTGAGAGAGCTGGCCAATGAACATGCAACAACGTAGAACATGGAGTCCGGAATAATAGATGGACGGGCAATAGCACTCATGAGTCCGAGACTCGGAAAAACGTACATCTACAAGGAAAAAAAAAAAAACTAAGATAAGTTAAACGTAAGGCCGAGAAAGGCTTGCGTTATTGGCTTGTGAGGAGTGCAAGGTCTTCCCGTTGTACTCCACGGGGTCAAAGGGAGACCCCGTAGCCAAAAGGGCCCTCCCATCGCTCCATTTGAACGCCTTAAAAAAAGGATTGTAAAGTTTTATAGGAAAAAAATGGGGAAGAGCCACATCTTCAGTGGTGCACTCGGCGTTGTCCGTAGGGTTCGACATGGGACAGATAAAAGGCCTGTCGCAATACTTCATCATCTTTTAATTATATTACATAAAGAAATATTTATAGTAAAAATAATAATAACAAATCACTTCTCGAATAATCTCTTCGGTAAACGCACCAGCAGCTCCACTCAAGCCGAGAAGAATAGAGGGTTTCACCTAAAACATATGAACTCATAATAAACATTAATATTTAAGTAAATAAAAGAAAATACTTCTTTGATGGTTTCTAACAGAGGAAGGCCGTCTAGCTCTTGAGGTTTTGCGAATGGAAGCTGTTGCTCTCCCGCTCTATGCCGTCCAATGAGCCCCTCTTAGGGAAAAAAAGTTACCGGCAAAGTACAGTAAAAAAGTAAAAGTATAACTTGAATCCAATATGTATATATTTTCGGCTGCAGCTTCCTTACTCAAACCTTCTTTCATCATGCCAGTCATAAGGGCATCCATAACGCCAATCCCTATAAACAGTAACGATTGTAACGATAATAATAATGTGATAGTATTTAATGACCAGCACTTCCTCCTCCAAGACACACTATTTTCTGGTCTTTCAAAGCACTAAAATGCGAAAAGAACAAAAATATATAGCAGAAGAAAAACTTAAAAAAAAAAGCACGCCAACCTCCTTGGAAGACCCCGAACTCGCAAATACCCCATAATCCCTGCAAGAGCAACGGCGCCAGTGCCCTGAATATCATCATTGAACACTAAATGGTTTTCTTTATATCTAAAATATTAACACATTAAAATAATTTTTTTCTTGTCTTCGCTCAAATTTATGAAAATATAATACCTTTCGAGTAAAGCAAATGCATTTCGAGAACTGAAATCTTCAAATTGAACCTTAAAAGGTAATTTGTATATCGTAATAAGATTATAAAAAAGTTTTTTTTAGTACCAAGACTTTTGGCCAGCGCGCATATACAGCACTCATGAACTCGTCCATTAACTACACAATATTAATAGTAAACATTATAATCATAATAATAATAATACTTCTATAAAAAGCTCGTGAGGCACGCGAGGAGTTTTCCTACCAATATAGAGCGGGTCATCAAGGAGAGTCTTATTATTGGTGCCTAATAGTAATAATAATAAAATAATTATTATTATTATATAATAAAAGCGGATCTCACCAAAATCCAGTTGGATGGGAAGAACTTTTGCTGGATTGACACCTCCAACTGCCACATACAAAGCAAGTTTTCCTATCTGTAATAATGAAGTATAAAAATATAAATCTCTAGCATATCTTTTAAATTGTTAATCATTAAATTTCTATTAAAAAAACTTGTTAATAAAGAAAAAAAATAATATATATACAGGAATTCCCATCCCCTGACATCCCAAATCACCAAGACCTTATATAAAATATAAAAAGTTAATTCCTAAAATGAAAACAATACGAAGTTATCCTCAAAAAAAATAAAATAAACCCAAAATTCTAGATCCGTCAGTGACCACAATGACGTCAACTTCTTCAACAGGCCAGTTATATACCATACTGCCAAAAAATAAACATAAATTTGTAAATAAAAAGTTCAACCAATTTACCTGTGCATCTCACTTTTATCTTCGGGGGTAAAGTACATCCCTGGAAATAGTAAAAAAATTTAGCTTACTACTCAAATTTTAAAATAACTTTTTTTTAATAATAAACTTTAAAATAATTACTCATAAAAACAATCTTTCTTTTTTTATTTATACCTCGAGATCTCCTATAAATAGAAGAAAAATTTTGACACGCCTTCCCAACAGTGGGTGTATAAATGATGGGAGCTAAAGTTAGAAACGCAATAATAGTATGTATATATGTGCTTAAAATAATATTCAACAAACCCAGTTTATTTAAATTTTTAGAAACTACATAGTAATAAAGAGTTTCGTTTCGGTCCATTAAATTCGAAAGTGTCACGTAACGACCCACATCAGACTGGCAACTTTCAAGATGACGAAGAATTCTTTGCTCTTGTTTCTTAAGAGATATTAATAAAGTATAATATTTATACTAAATAAACATTGACAAACCTCAATAGGTATGTGCGCAGGAGGAACTAATCCGCGAATGCCTAACCGCTCTCTTTCCGAAGCAGTAAAAGATGTGCCTTTGTTAAACAAGGGATTGTGAATAAGTGCTGCTCCGTGCTCGTTTGTACTCCATACATGAGTATTAAAAGCTTCCTTACACTTGGATTACATAGTAAATATAAACTTAGTATACTCTTAAAGGCTTTATGAGAAACTTCAAAATATATATATTTAAAAAAATCCGATAAAATCGTTAAATTAATTAGGATACAAGCTTAATATCAATATAAAATATTTTGTTAACTTTACAACCAAAATCTAACGTAAATCTAACGTTAAATACGTATTACAACAAACTAGTATTCTTTTTCATTTCATATATATTAAGCAGGGCGATAAAAAGTCAGTGAACATATGACAAAGCATAGAATATTAACCGAGTAACATAAGAACATAGTATTTTTAGCCTTAAAAGGTTTACGTCCAAACATTTTGTGTAAAGAAACCATTATCGACAAAAACGAAACTTATATTCTCACAAAGTCACGAGGGCTTAAATTTTAACGTGCTCTACTTATTAAAGGTTTTAAAACTATACTCGATATAAAAGTTAGAATCCATTGGTCAAAATTATACTAAATTTACCACATTTAAGAGTATATTTTTTTATAATTACACCAGGTGTCTATCCTTGAATCCTATTTTAAAGTTGCAATTATTATAATTACTATTTATTACAATATTATATATTAAATTGTGCTAATTTTTAAGGTGTAATTAAAAGCATTATTATTGTGTTAAAGCTACTATAGGACAGCTAATCTAGCAAGTTGATCACCTCGTGTAACGTAAGTAAAGCATTTTCCTTCCACCCTCACGCTTAGTAATTTTTCTGATAGTTATTTACTTTTCTCCTCATTCCTTCAAGAAGGTAACTTCGTCCCCACTTTCCTTACTTAATTAATAATTTCATTTCATATTATTTAATTATATAATTAATCCAAATTTAATAAATAAACAATTTCTTTGAAGTGAACTCGAATCAAAGTATTGGATTGAAAAAAGCTGATAGATTTCTCCACACTAAGAAGTTGAACCTCGTAAAAGGGACAGACTCATATATAAAGGTATGGAATCCTCACAGAAACCAAAAAACATAATTACTTCGTCACGTTTCTATTTAACATAGTATATGGAATAACTTGCAAAAATGATGTCTGCAATTGCTTTTTTAGATACTTCAGTTCAGTGTATTTTTATCACTGTATCTTTTTTGTTTTTAGAGAACGTCATATACCAAGCGTCTTGGTTCTGAACCTGCCGCAATAAAAATACACAACTTCCCAGAGCCATATTAACTATGGTTCTTTTTTTTTTTTTTATTAAGGTAATATATTTTATAAACTTAATAGCTAGTTTACAATTGCTAAATTTAGTAGCATCATAAAAATGTTATATGGTAAAAGTTCAGAGCTAGGGCTCCAATTCCATTCCCCTCCCCTTTCGCTTTACTAAATGAGTGCCGCACTAACAGCTATTTAAAAAATCTGGTTGGCAAAAAAATCATTAACAGCATGGTTTAATGTAAATGAGTGCTACTTCTTAGTCATATCAAGGTACTTATTTTTGAAAACGACCATCTTTATAAAAATGCTACACACAATATTATTAAACGTATGTTGACAAAATTTTGCGGTGTCGCCTGTCTTTTTAAATATTTACAAAATAAAAGTTTTATTGCTTTATTATGGTATTTACTCACGCAAAGCATTTGTGTACGCTTTGTCATAACACCTGTATAATAGTCAGCTCTGATTCGCTTTAAATATACTGCTTACATCCTCTAAATGTCATAATAGAAAATACTTTGCCCAGAGAATATCTAAGTAAATTATATAATGCTGTGATAGTGTTTGCTAGGCCCAGGCTGTTTCGCAAACTCACAAGTAACATTACGAAAAAATTGTGCTCCGCCACTCCATCCACCCTTATTAAATAGAAGCTATATCCAAAAATAGAGAATTCACACGATGCTTCCATCAACTTACTAAATAAAATTTAACTAATAAACCAGTTAAATAATAGTAAAGGAAGTTACTAACTGTTCCTAACAAATTTTTTCTTTTTTTTGGTCAAGTGTAGGACCATTTTTGTTGACACAAGAAGGAAAAAAAGACTTATCATGTACATGAACTTATATACAACTTTCTTTTTTTTAAGTGAAATGAAATCTCTTTACTAAAAAATTGTACTTTAATATCTATTAATTAGTTTTGCTTCTTATCATTTTAAGATAATTTTTATATAAAATATTAAAAAGTTACCGTACTAAACCACTAGCAGTTAAGCAGCCCTCGGTAAAGCTCTTAGTATGCTTTAAAAAAGGACCATGTTCGCATTCACGAGGTAAAGGGAAAATCTTTCTTGAGGAGCTCCTGTAAGCATTTTTAAAAAAATTGTTTGGGTAGTAGTTGCAGTGTATGCAGGTTGGAGGCAGGCCTTTTATTTCCTGGTTTATAAGCACTTGCCATTCCCCACGAAGTACTGCTGGTGGGGATTTAAGGAATTGTTTATATTTCCATAGTATTCCTTCAAAAAGCTCGCAGCTCTCATTTAACCATATTACTGTTTTTTAATTATCAATAAAGGCCTGCCCTTCCATATATCCTCTCATAAAAGGACCTATTTTAACGATAAGTCTATTAATAAGAAGGGGAGTATCAATTCTAGAGGATTTAAAAATAGTCGCGTGCTTTAAAAACTTGACGACGGGAGCCTTCACAGATAAAGGATAGAGGTAACACTTTAATCCAGGAATACCAGAGTAGCTGTTAGGACTCTTTATATCTTACACCTGCCTCCGTAATGCGGACGCCCACCGTTTGGCATGGTGGGGAATCTAACAAAAGAAAAATGGAGGGTGAGAGCCTTTCAGTCAAGCGACTTTTTGCTGGTTGAACCCCTGATGTCGATAGATCTTTAAACTCTTCGCAGTTCAATTCCGAAAAAATTCCTCTTAAAACTACATTAAGTGCTTTCTCTTCAGGTAGTTGACAGGAGTAAAATTCATTACTTCTTTAATAAGAAGAGTTTGTGGCTACCCGAAAGTCGTCAGAATTAAAAGGAAAACTTTAAAGTGATTTCGAGTATCCCCTGAGGTTTAGACGTTACTACCTAATAAAAAGAAAAGTACTTCAAGCCATATATGCTTTTCACGTATAACATTGAGAGGATTGTAACTACTTTTGGGGATGTTGTTACTAGTATTGTCGCCGGTGGTGGCTTTAATGTTATTTTTAGAAGTGTTGTTACTACTGTTACTGCTCTTAGTAAAGGGGGTATAACTGCTTTCTTTCAAAACTATGGGGACTCACCACTATAATTATATTTATTACCATCGTTATTGTTACTAGAATCGTTATTATTACAACCACAATTTTTATTCTTATTATCAATGGTGGCAACTTCGACTTCATCTACGGCGAGAGCGCTGAGAAATTATTGGAATTAGGATTTTCCATAGTTCAAAGAACCGCCATTTCGCTTTTCAGAGCAATAAACCAGAGTTCTTTACTTTACCTTCAAGTTCGGAATCTTTTTGTCTGCAAAAACTAATTTTTGTTGTTAGATCTGCTATGGCAGTTAATAACTTGAACACCATCTCGGGTGAATAGTGTCTTGTCATGGTTAAAAGTTATATATATATAAAACATTATTGTAAGAATATAAAGAAAGTAAGAAGAAAAAAAAAGAGTTTCGTGTTATATAAGTATAAAGAAAAATATTTATAGCAAGCCCGTCTCAGAAAAATCCCCCCCTTCATTCCTCCTGTTGTTACCCCTTTATTTTATTTTCTATATATTACCAGACATACTATCGCCAGGCCCTATAAAAGAGGTTCTAATACGCTGGTTAATCAGATCTAAGCGGGCACCAATGCTCATCCGAAGGAGCTTACACTATCATGACCATCCCGAAGAACTATAAAAGCAGGGAAGATCGGGGGTAGGGCCAGAACTCCAGCCATTCGGAAAACCGCTAACCCCTACTGAAAGAAGCAGTTTTAGGCCCGAGGTCCGAGGCCACCTGGAGACACCGGCCAGTACCACTTTCGGCCAAGGCCTCCCCGACTATCAGCTCTTCACCCAAAAAACAGGAGTCTCTTTCTGTATAATACATACTTTACAAAAATAAACAAAAGATAAAAATGCAAAATTTCTAGGTTAACTAATCACTAGGACATCCCTCTATTATATTTTTAAAATTAAGTCGGTGAAGTAAACTCTAAACCTTTAAAGGTAGTAGATTGGTAAGAGCTTAATTTGTTGAAATTTTTACACTAGTGTTAACCCTCACAATGGGGGCATGTTTAATGCCTCCTCTTAAAAAACGTCTCGAAATCGCGGTTTATTTAATCCTTTTGAACTGTGAAATGAAAAGTTAGTCCGGGTGTTTGTATAACTGGCAGAAAAAATATTATCACATTCTACCTTTTTTTAAACCTTTTTCTTAAAAGGTTAAACAGAAATAAATCTGTCTCAACTTTTAAAAATAATTTTTTCACTTTTGGGTATTATGATTAGACTATGTGTTGCGGGGGTTCTATTTTAGTTGTATTTTCGTGACTTTATAAGTTCAGTAGGGTGAAACCTCTGGTGTTCCAAAATCTTCTTGGATCTCTCCTACATCCATCTTCTTTAAACACGGAAAAAGACTACTTTAAGCTTTTTGTCGGACGGGACCGATTTATACAACATCCAAGCAATTCCAAATCTAGAAGTAACTTTCTAAGATCTCATTCTAAAAAAGCGAAGAACGTGTCCTCTTTGAACATTTAAACGTTGTCTAAAACTTATACCGCGGCATAAGGATTAAAATTTATGGGCCAAGAGTAGTCTTAAGTCTTATTGACTCCTTCCGCTTTCTTAAAATAAAATAGTCTTTCAGAATTACTTTTTTCTTGTAACTTACTAAATTTCGCCTTAAGCAACTCTAACTCCTTTGTCAGAGGGGCGCTCGTAGCAAATTGACTGGTGATTAATTGTTGTTGTATATATATATGGAAGTAGTACCCTTAACGACCGTTAATAACAAAATAAATAAAAATTATTATTTAAAAAGTTCATATAGTTATATGCAAAACAAATAATTAGTCATTTGATAGATATATATGTTAGTTAGTTAAGAAGTTAAACAGGCGGAATGGTTAGCAAAAGCGATGCAAGTAAAAATAGCAAGTTGTGCAAAACAAGAAAAACAGTTATAAAAATGAATCTAAGTGCGCAGGCCACATTCATGTTTTCTGTAGTTGATTGAAAAAAAAAACTTTATACCTCTCTAGCAAACTGTGTGGTCTTTAGATTATATTATAACCGGTAAGCCAGGTTAGTTTGGTGTATAAGTTTAAGCTACACGTTACGCAGAAATATACAAATGTACTAATGTAAAAGCTAAAGTTTAAATAGGTCACCACAGGCAAGTAATAGAGCAACCGACCATTCCTTTATAATAAAATAGTGTAAAAAAGCTATAAGTAAACGAGATAATTCCTAAAGAGATCATATGTTTTCTTGTTAATTATAAAACACACCTTCAATGCCAAATATTAAACCCAAAAAAATTAGAAAATAAATATTTCTACATAAAAAATTGGGTAGAGAGAATAACCTATGCTTTTGACGTAAAAATTCATATAGCATGCGCTTCTGTAAAACTATTTTGAAAAGATGTAGACAAACTTGTTAAATAAGAAACCGCTGAAATATTTTAGGAGAATACAGTTTATTGGGTCATAATGCGAAAGTACAGTAATCATATGTAGATCCCCAGTAAAAAGGAGACCTTTTCTATAGTACATTAAAGAAAGTCACAAGTAAAAGAAAACTTCCAAAAGAAACGCTGTGCTGTCGGTTGAGCATAGAACAAATACGAGGCCATGCCAATGCTACCTATAAAATAGTAAACTTATAAGGCTACGTGAATTTTGCTGGCATTCCATACCTTTAAAATCACGAAAAATTCTTTACAAACACTCTTAACCCTTATAGCTAATTATGTTAACAGTTGAGCAATCTCGCAATCCTAAAACTTAAAATACTTTCTCGGTTTCCACAGAGGGGAGCTCCTAAATTCCGTTAAAAATCAAATCTAATTCTGTAAAAAACTTTAATAAAGTTTATTCGTACTTTTTTTCTCGAATCTCTGTTGATTTAGAGCGTTGTAGCCTTCGGGTTAACTCCTTACAGGTTACAGGTAACTATGTTTACCACTTGTCGCCTAAGTTCAATTTGCGAGAGTAGGTCAATGGAAATTGTGACTAAACGACAGTCTCGGGCCTCTGAAACAATCTTTAGTGAGCTTGAGTACCATGCTCTAAAGGAATTAGCCGCAGCCAACATACTATAAGGTAGTGGTAAATTTAGTTACCAGTAAAACGTAAAACAACTCTATTTTAAACTCTAGTTTGCCCCCTAAAGGGTTGAGCACTATTCTCATTTATTCTAGATTAATATTAAGTAATTTATTCTGAACTATCTTTATTACTGTTAAAACTATTTCTTTGATGTATAAAAATTTATGTAATCTATCCTTATTTTATTAGAAATATAAAATTATAATGAAACACGTTAAAGTGAATTTTAAGTAAGCTGAAATAAACTATTTTTTACTCACCATGTTATTTAAACAAAAACAAAGAAGCAATAGCATAGAAGCCATAAAATTTTTTATAAATAAATTTCAGAAATGACCTACTTTATCACGTACTCTAGTATGCGTTGTCATGTCACTTAATTGTTTAAAAGCGTAGTTAGTAATAATATACTTTACTATAAGCACTAAAGGTTATAGATGTTGTAAATAAAAAAAAAAATAAAGAAAAATTAAAGATATATTTAGCTTAACAGTTAAACAGGGAAAGTAGAATTGGAAACATGTCGGCGTGCTTATACGCTTAGTAAGACAGCATGTAAAAAAATTATTTCAGCATGCGACAATGCTGTATTATTTTTTTTTAAAATTATAAGAAAGAGAACTTTTTATAATACACAGAAAACTCTTTTTACGAATTGTGCAATTTGTTGGAGAGGCGTGTGCCTGTGTCCCTAATAGAAGAGCCTGTAGGCAGGATACATACTTTTTGAGTTTGGTTGCCTTCTTTCTTGGAATTTAACCTACACGTGAGCACTCTTTTAGTCCCCTTGTTGGCTTATGACTCCTATGCTTCACAAATAGTATAAAAGTGTGTGGAGAGACGTGGACAAATGTACCCAATAGAAGAGTTTGTAGAAAGAATAAAAATTTATGATTTGGTTACCTTCTTCTCTGGAATTTAAACTACATTTGGGCATTCTTTTTGGCCCCCTCGTTGACATAATCATGTTCCTCGTAAGCTTCGTAAACAGTATAAAAGCGCGTCTTGCACGCTAAGCTTTGGCTTACTATTCAGATTTATTCCGACTTCTTTAGTTTCTAAGTTATTGCCTTAAAGAATTATTATGCCCACGAAATCCGACAGAGAAAATAGTGGTAGTCATTGTATTTTAAAAAAAGTTAAGGTACTAGTTTCCCTTGTATTTATAGGTTTTTCTGGAGGAGAGGAAACTGTTAACAATAAGTCCCGCAAAAAATTGATTTATAGGCCCAAGTTCTTGATAACGTTGGCGATTTTGACATTTTTCTTTTCTATTGCCTTCCTCGTATTTTTAGGCCTCTATGTTAACGTTAGTTTTATAACTCAGTTTAAATTTGTAACTTTTTTAACTATGATATATAAGGCTACAAATATTTATTAAATAAATTATAAATAATATGAAGGTATGCATAAATATATTTTGAACAACGATTTTAACACTTTATTCTCGTACCTTTATAAAGATTTACTATGCTTATATTTATAACTAAGTATACCCATGACTGCATCATGCGATAGAGTCAGTTTTTGGGCTTCACTATACTTTTGCTAATTAAAAATTTTCTTTAAGTTAACTGTTAAAAACTACTTATTTTGGTATTGATTGTTACATAGTTTGTTACTTATATTACTATCTTGTATACAAAGGAAGTAAATAGCATTTAATTTCTCAGTCAAAAATTATTATTACTGGTACTTAGTATGCTAAATTATACGCTAGTGCAATATTAGGTGCAGGGTTTTTTATAGTAACGCATTAGTATTTGCACTATAACGTATTACTAAAAATTATTTTTAAACAGGCTAAGCTGGCTGCGAGTCCCTCGGTAGAGGTATTTAAATAATTGTTAAATCATTTTCCATTTTGTTTATGAAGAAGTGTAGTGCAATAGTTTATTTCAACTTCAATGCTACGCATATTATTTTATATGAAGTCAGTTTTTGGGCTTCACTATACTTTTGCTAATCAAAAATTTTCTTTAAGTTAACAGTTAAAAACTATTTATTTCGGTATTGAATCTGTTACGTAGTTTGTCGCTTACTTATATTACTATCTTATATACAAATATAGTAAACAGTATTTAATTTCTCAGTCAAAAATTATTATTACTGGTATTTAGTATACCAAATTATACGTTAATGCAATATCAGGTGCAGGGTTTTTTTAGTAACGCATTAGTAATTGCACTATAAAGTATTACTAAAAATTATTTTTAAACAGGCTAAGCTGGCTGCGAGTCCCTCGGTAGAGGTATTTAAATAATTGTTAAGTCATTTTCCATTTTGTTTATGAAGAAGTGTAGTGCAATAGTTTATTTCAACTTCAATGCTACGCATATTATTTTATATGAAGTCAGTTTTTGGGCTTCACTATACTTTTGCTAATCAAAAATTTTCTTTAAGTTAACAGTTAAAAACTATTTATTTCGGTATTGATTGTTACATAGTTTGTTACTTATATTACTATCTTGTATACAAAGGAAGTAAATAGCATTTAATTTCTCAGTCAAAAATTATTATTACTGGTACTTAGTATGCTAAATTATACGCTAGTGCAATATTAGGTGCAGGGTTTTTTATAGTAACGCATTAGTATTTGCACTATAACGTATTACTAAAAATTATTTTTAAACAGGCTAAGCTGGCTGCGAGTCCCTCGGTAGAGGTATTTAAATAATTGTTAAGTCATTTTCCATTTTGTTTATGAAGAAGTGTAGTGCAATAGTTTATTTCAACTTCAATGCTACGCATATTATTTTATATGAAGTCAGTTTTTGGGCTTCACTATACTTTTGCTAATCAAAAATTTTCTTTAAGTTAACAGTTAAAAACTATTTATTTCGGTATTGAATCTGTTACGTAGTTTGTCGCTTACTTATATTACTATCTTATATACAAATATAGTAAACAGTATTTAATTTCTCAGTCAAAAATTATTATTACTGGTATTTAGTATACCAAATTATACGTTAATGCAATATCAGGTGCAGGGTTTTTTTAGTAACGCATTAGTAATTGCACTATAAAGTATTAAAAAAAAATTAATTTAAAGCAGGTTATGCCGGCTCCTAGTCCGTCTGAAGAGGTATTTAAATAACTGTTAAGTCATTTTTCATTTTGTTTATGAAAAAGTGTAGTGCAATAGTTTATTTCAACTTTAATGCTACGCATATTATTTTATAAGAAACGTATTAACGTATTAATACTGCTTAAAACGTTTTAGATGAATTACTTTATATTCGTGGACGCAGGCAGTACGGGGACCCGAGCGTACTTGTACCAATTGGTTATCGTTCTTTTTATTAATTTCTATAATTTTTCATTAAAATCTCAACTTTTCGATTAGCCCCGAAATTATAAACTCTTTCAGGATCAGTTTTTTATCACCTCATCACCTTTTCCTATTGAAGAGGAACCGTTTACTTCGGGTTCATCCGGCACATGTTAACTTAATCCTTAGTTATTATATATATATAAATTATTCTATCGTTTTCCAGTTACTATTGAAGAGTATGCATTGAGTGTTACCAAAAAACTCCTTGACAAAATAAACGAAGACTGGTCATTAAGACGTAATGGACCGATGTCGACCTTCATTTTTTTTTTATGTCCAATATTTTTAAAATAGTAAATAATTTTTATAGCCCTTTGTATATTTTCGGTACGGGCGGGCTACGGTCGTTAACGATTGCGAACCAAAATAAGATTACTAAAGTATTGATACATTCAATAATTTTATTAATCTTGAAACTATTGTTATAACTTATGTTAGAAACTTAAGGAGGAGCTTACCAACTATAATGGCTTTAATATTGATGGTGTTCATATTAAAGTTATTAGTGGGCAAGAGGAAGGTTATTTAAATAGTATTGCATTAAGGTTTCTTTGGTTTTCTTACTTAGTTAATATATATATATAGCTCTTTATGCCTGGATTACTGCTAACTATTTAGATAAAAAACTTAATAAAGAGCTCACTGTGGGCGTTTCAGAAATGGGCGGATGTGAGTGTTAATTTATTTGAGTTAAAGGAATATGCTGAATTATCATTAACCATGTACAGCCTCACTTCAACTCGCTTACCAAGTTAAAGATGTAAAAGGAAGCCCAGAGGTACTTTATCAATATTTATGTTAACTTTTTTTAAAAAACTTTTTATATATAATTTTTAATAGAATATCGTCCACTTAAAGTTAGGTTCTGGTCATAAGTAAGTAACCTATTTTCTGTACATTATTTATTGGGAAACACATTATTCAGTATCCCTTTAAAGGAGGAAATAGTTTTACTGGTTATTATATGGTTTACATATTCAGCATTGATAAATACATCATTTAAAATTATTATTTTTGTTACCCGGCGTTTTACTTAAACGTTTTTAAGCTACCACGTGTTTACCGCCTCCTTCGACGATTATGGCTCTGATAGTGTATATAATAAATATGTTCAAGCATTAAGTAATCAACTTAAAGATGAAGAAGCGAGGTTTGTTCATTCCATTCCGTGCGAATAATACTATGATCTATTAATAACTATTAAAAAAGTTACTGTTTCCCACCTGGTTTTAACTTCACCGAAGGTTTATACATCCTTGCAAAATTTATTATATATCTGAAATAGAAAGTTGCTCGCTTTATTAAACAGAACAATCAACTAAAAGCGTTTCAAAAGACCCCCAGGGAAATTTTGAGAACTGTAGCCGCAGCTTAAAGAGTATTCTTGACTTAAACTGCATTCAGGCACAATGTAATTTTTGTTAATATAACAATTTTGCAACCCTTATTTTTTTTTTTGAAGGCTCCATCAATGGTAAAAGTCTTCCTCCCTTTGATGCCAATATGAAAATCTATGGATTAGCGTCTTTTTATTATATTACTAACGATTTTAAAGCTTATGATGAAGGTAATATTATTACTACTATATCTTTTTATCTACTAACAATTTTATGATATAGATAATAAGCTAAATAAGAGTAAATTCGTTGACGAAGCCACTAAATATTGCAGTACTCAATGGGAAGAAATACAAAAAATGAGTACTTTTTTAACAGCCGTGACATATAGCTCGCTTACCCCTATATATAATAGCAAAAATTCGATATCGTGAAAAAACGTGTTTGAAGGCGAGCTATATTAACCTGTTGCTTGAGAAGGGCTTTAAGTAATTTTTATTTACATTTTTCGTACTGCTGGTATTAACTAGTTATTATACTCTTAGCATTACACAAGGAGCAGAGTTTTATACAGTCCAGAATGTTAATGATCTCAAAGTGAGTTGGACTTTGGGAGCTTTACTTCACGCACTTAATGCTGAAGATTAACTAATGTTTAAAGCAATTACCAACTGATATAAACTTCCTATAACTTCGGCGTTGTTTATCATGCGCTTATGATATTGCGATAGGAAATAGTACGCTGAGGTTATTAGAGTAATAGTGACCAAAGCATTGAACGGTTATAAAAAGTTGCAGGTGGCCAGTCTACGTTGTTAACTGCGGTAAACTCCACCCACAAGGACTTCAGTTGTTTCCGCTATAACTTGCATTTATTTGTTCTCCGCATGATCAGCACATAAGGAATGCTTTTTTGGGAGCGTTTAATATTGTAGATAACGTCTGTCTGCTGGTGACTAAGATCAACGGTTTTTAATAGTATCGAGCTATATTATTTTAGATTATGATCATTTCTTACTTGGTCTTATCGATGTAATAATAATATTAGCGTCTATTTAGACCTTTTATTTGTTGCTTTTATAAAACTTCAGTTTTCATGCCATTCATTTTATTCTACCTAGTTCTCAATGACATGAGTTAAAGCCTTTTTATTTAAAATTAATTGAAAATTAATATAGTTATATTTTAGGTTATAAATTTTATAATAAATCAGTAGGGAATTTGGAGACTAAGACGATTTTGCCTGGTACATATTTAATATTTTAAGTTGTTCTTGTATAGATGAGCTTAATAACAGTGGTAGTGTTTAGCTGCAACTATCAACTAAACAATTAAAAAGTCACCAGAACTAATATAGCTGACCTTGTTATAAATAGTGTATATTTCAAACCTAGCCCCTTATTTTTTTAAACCACAGAAATTTGGTTTCCGTATATACGATAGATAATCCCCGCATTAATATTTACATAGTACTAGCTAACAACCTTCCTAAGCGCCTTTAGTAAACGATAAACTACCAAGGCGGATCGAATACAACAATGCTATACAAGTACAATCCGCACAAAGCCCGTTAATTAGCCAAACTGGCATGCTACTTCCTGTGATTGAACTTGCAGCTCGGGAAGACAGCATGAGTATTGCCAGAACATCACAATTATGTGTATCTTTCTCTCAACTCTTTCGTCCTTGATTTTGCTTCTAGTTTTATTCATAACTCAGCTGCATTCATCAACTTTTTTATGAACTATATAGCATTTCACGTTTCCCGCACGTAGTTTTAAGACGCTGTTCCTTTTTATTAGGTGAAAATTATGACTATCTACACGAGTGATATAGACGAATACGAAGGATTCTATAAAGTAACCTTATCGAAAACTTAAAATAAATGTATTACTTAGGGGAAAGATTCGGGTACACTTCAAATAACTAATATTTATAGCCAGCATTTGTGCATGTGCTTAGATCATCGGTGCCCCTAAGCACCAATTGCTGAATCTGTTTTCCGAGGCAGGGCCCCCAGTCTTAAAATTAGCATGTAACGACTTTAATTTTGTATAGCTTCTTGTGCTTGTTCAATAAATACGGTAGCCCCCGAGCTTAATAATGGTTTGTGTCCAGTAGTGGTTAAATGCTTTTGGCTTCTATGAAAAAAGTATCTACAATACGGGCTACCTTAGGCTCTGAGAGGGTGTCGTTGCGCGCAAGGTAGTGCTCCCCAACTAGTTGCCGCAGTAATGTGTTTTGTCATACTAGCAGTGCGCTGCTACAATTGACGGAACCCCTTCAATGCCAAAGCGAGTGAAGCGTAGATCGTAATAGAGGGTTTACATGTACACTGGTCGATACAGTTTTTTAAATAGGTACATCCTGATATTTACATGGCACAGTGTAACCAGCTTGTGTTCCTTCATTTACTTTGCTGCATTGCGTGAGTCTCGCGGCTGGCTGCGGCCGATGACGATGCTCAGGCCCCCTTTAGAACGTTTAAAGCTCTTAGAAGACTTTTTTGACTAATTATGTGTTTTTCTCCTTAACACATGAACCGTCTGTCTCATGATGGACATAGACTGATTTTAATACAAAGCACCCCGTTAAGTAGGTGTTGAAAGCAGATTTTATAAGCAAAAAAGAAAAAATCTGTCTAATCAAGAAACATTTTGCAAGAAGACTAGTACTCAGCAAGAAACTATAGTGAAAGTGTTTTATAGTATTTCACTTCTTTTTTTAGGAAAAAGAAGTTTATTCTAGAGCTGAGGAAATAGTGAAATCACGTTAAAATTTTCTTGCTATTAACTGTAGCAGATCCAAAAATTATAACAAAGGTAGAACTTATTGCCCTTTCAAGAAGACTGTAATGAGAAGAATCGAAGAAATGGCAGATGAAGTTGGTAAACAGATGCTTTAACGTATGACCGCATGCTCTACCATTTCTCTTGCTTTGGACGAGAGCAGCGAAGTATTTGTATGGGATGTGTCAGCGAACAATTCCATAGCACAGAACTTCTAGATATGGGGCAGCAAGTTTCCAGTAGAAAAGGTATTTTACGTGAAATTAAAGATTTGATAATCGCCTATTAAACTGGGACTAATATGATAGTGTTTGTTTTGTACAGGTGGAGCTCCGGCGATTATCGGGAGGGTAAAAGGTTTTTTTTTAAATTTTGTTGGAAGGATTTTTAAAAACCTAAAGTTTTTAAATACCACTGCTTTACTTACCAAGAAGCCCAAGAAGCTCTCTGTGCCAAGGCTATCAACTTTATTTCTGTTCTTATAATCCTGTGATACGATGTGCCATCCACATTGGATCCAGGGCTCATGATGGAAGGGTTCCTTTTATTTCTTCTTAATCGTTCAAAGGACACCATCACATTGCAGTGTTCCCTGGCTATCTCGGGGTTAAACCTTAGAAAGGTTTTGGAAATTATGAAATTTAGTTTTGGGATATTTAGTAGAGAGAAAAGAGTGATCCCCCGTCTCCCAGATAAGTGCTCACCTCTCAGAAATAAAGGTTGGTTGTGGGATCTAGCTTTTGTGACAGATATTATGGGTCATTTAAATAATTTAAATAAGCGTTTGTAAGGCAAACTAATTTTTTTTTTTCCCGACCTTGCTCGGTTTGGTTCAAACTTTCAAATTTAAACTGACACTTTTGAAAGGGCCTTTGCGTAAAGGTGGACTGCATTATCCCACTCGAAAGCAATAGTTGATGGTAGAAACAAAAATGCTGTCTTCACGAAGTTTAAAAAAAAAGTTTTACTTTTGAAAAAATCGTCTGGAGAGAGATCCATCGATAGTGCTTCCCAAGACAGTTTATTAAATTTTACTTGAATATGCGCTCCGCTACTCTTGTAGATTTGGCTCGGACTAATACTTGTGACCAAACAATTTTCAACTACCGATGTTTATTAAAAATAAATATCTCGCAATATTAACCGACGAACAATATAAAAAAAATCTCATTCTTCTTGGGCCCTCACAAGTAGATCCCAACATTGGGAAGCTGACACATAGATGAAGCAAAATCATAGGCCTCATTATTGTTCGAGTGCTAGTTTTTTCTTAATAATTTAAATAATTGCATTTTTTTTATAACATAAACGTACCCAATGACCAAGTGATCTGCGTATGATAATGTGGTTTTTGGTAGATTATAGTAGTAATCTAATTTAAGGAAAAGTTCAAAACAAACTAGGATAATGTTTTGTAAAAAAAATCTCTTGCCTAAAAAGTTTAAGAAGCAGAAACTTTTTTCCTGTTATTCGATTCAGATGAAGTGGTAGAGCAGGGATGCATATGCATTATGTTTCAGAAGAATGATAGTACAAGTGTAAAGTTTGAAGTTGTCTATTTGAATAAGTAATCAAGTAGATCAATTTGACACACTACTAGCTAAATATCACACAGTTGGTACTAAAATGGTGTGTTTAACCATAATGAAACTAGGGCGCGTGTTACTGGACAGTAATATTAGCTGGTCAAAGGAAATTGGCGGAAATTGTTAGTGCCATGCGAACAATTGACTTCAGAGAGATATCCTGATCTTTATGCTTATTGTACTCTTTAATTGACGAAATTTGGCCAAATTTGGTGCTTGTTTCCTATATAGCACCACATAGCATAGCACAGCATAACAGAATATGATGGTTTTTACTTTAGAAAGATACCATAATCAACTTCGCTGAGGAAAAAATCCCAGTTCATGTTTTAACGCAAATTACCATTTTAGACAATTTTTACGATTATTATATAGATAATTTCATTGCATAGGGGTTAGTATATAATGAAGGTTCACGAAAAATAAACCGGCAGACATTTTAATTTTTTTTTCAGTGTTTTTTTTTTTTTTTTAGCCACATCTGTACATATCTATATATATGTACATTTGTTGACAATTGATTTTATAGAGCTTAAAGGTTTAGCTACCGACCAACAGAGGTTTAAATACCAGTCAGTAAAGGTTTAAATACTCTAACAAACTTAAATAATGTATTATTCAAGTGTAATTTATATAAAAGACAATATAAAGACACTATTTGTTTAAACTAGTTGATTTAGTGCTGTTATATACAATATTTAAGCTCCCTGACTGGCATGTGTAAAGAGAAAGAAATATGCATTTGTTTCGCTTCTCCTTGCTGGCGCGTGTCCTGTGTGCTCCTTAACATTTTTATCTTCACTTTTATGCGGGATGCGCGTCGGTAACCTTTTTGGTTGCTGCCATCACGGCGAGATACGCGTCGGCGATTTTTTAAAGAAACATGTTAATGCCCGCCGTCCACGGGTTTTGCTATATATGGTTGCATTTTCTGTTAGCTAGTTTATGAACTTTCGCGGTTGCAATGTACATTCTTCCTGAAAGTAACGGTTGCTTTTTGCCGCCAGGTCTAGGTCGTAAAGCTGCCTAAAAAGATAGACCCTATATATTCATATTCGCGTCTACAGACGCCTTAGTTCTAACGGGTTTCCATGGTTTCGATCTAGCTTACTCGAAAGATTGTCATTCGTTGACGGAACACATGTCTATGAAAGCTCATTACCCTTTGGTCATGTCACCCTCTATGACGAATCGGTCGTTACTTGATCTGAGGCTGAAATGCACCCTTATTTAATCAGCTTCAATAAAAGATTAGCCAAAAACCTTGAAAAATAAATGAAAA